GAAAGAAAGAAAGAAAGAAAGAAAGAAAGAAAGAAAGAAAGAAAGAAAGAAAGAAAGAAAGAAAGAAAGAAAGAAAGAAAGAAAGAAAGAAAGGAGACACAAAGGACCCTGTTTTGTGGGAGGAGGACAGTTCTCACTTAAGATCAGGAAAGATAAAGTTGGTAAAGAGGGTGGAACACGCGCATGGGCAACTTTGAATACTTATGGAATGGCTGGTCAGTTTGGGAAAGCTAGTCAGCTGATGATGAGGAAACAGTGATGTTTTAGAGAAGTTTCAGGGGATAAATTAACAAACGACTGTGCAACAAGTCCTCAAATCATGGAGACCCGTGACCAGGTCACTGGAGCGCTCCTGTGTGGGCGAGACGCGTCTGCTCCCCGACCCTGAGCGCTGTGTAAGTTCTGCTAACCAGTTGGACCACCGGAGTTTCCAACAATAGCTGTGGCCCCATCTGGGAGCCCAGTTTATATAGAGGCTGATTAACAAAAAGTAAAGCGTAGAAATGGTAAGACGTTAACACGAACAAGAGTAAAGGTGACCCCTGCTGCAACTTATGATGAGTTCTCCACCCTGCCCTTCAGGACTGCATTTTAAGAAAGTGGACAGCTCAAAGGGCTCTGTGCTATGGCTGCCTCTCTGCTGGGGCCTCTCCCAATCATTCTGTACTGTGTATGTCCTGGTTTCTATGAGGATGAGAACAGGAGACTCTGGATGGTTGTAAGCCTGGGCTTTAGAGCTTAACATCCAACTCTTAACCGGCTTGTAGCTACCATGACTGTCACCTTGTGGCAGATGAGAAGACCCCTCCAGGCGTTCTTGACCCCCTTCCCCTCTGCTTTGCCCTGTCTTCTGATGATTTGGCAGCAATATTCTGTGATATTATACTGGGGGACAGACTCCAATTTCTGGAAATTGGTGAACTATTCCAAGGTTGGTGTCACAGAGCAAATGGTCCTAGAGATGGAGGACGCTGATGATTCTGAGTTTGTCGATCCCTCCCTCCCTGCTGAGACCTCAGCTTGAGATGATCTGCTTCTGGAGCCTGCCTGTCTGTGTCCTGAGTCTTCTCCCTTGCTGGGTACAGTTGGGCTTTTCTTGTCCCCATTTGCCTCTGATGCTGATGGTCCTTCTAAAGACTCCTCCTCCCTTGAACCCCTCTCCTGGGCTCCCAGTGTAGCATCACCTCAGGTTGCTCTGATCTGGAGGTGCCTCTGGAGCCGGAATGGATGGGCACTCCATGCCCTGTGGATCTCTGAGACACCAACATTGACTAGCAGTTGACCTGGTGCTGGGCAGAGGATGCTGTGCTCAGTACCTTGAAGGCACTTTGGGATATGCACAGGGAACATCTGGTGTGCTTCTCACACATGTTCAGTACTAATCTTATAGAGTGATGCTGACCCTAACCCCTACCACCAAATTTGTTTTTAACTAATTAAACTTTACCGATTTTACTTAAAAAAAAAAAAAAAAAAAAAAAAGAGTAAAAGAGTAAAGGCATAAGGCTGTATTCATTTTAGACAAAGGTCAATGCACAAGTGGGACGGGATGGCAGGGTGAGTGGCTATCTAGGCAAAGCTGCTCTGTTCTAGAGGTGTCTTACAAAGGAACGGATAGAAGCTAGGAAAAAGGAAGTTATTTCAAAATTTGTTTATTGAGACTCACTATCACCCTAGCGACCAGACTCCTGTGGGTGATCGGGGCTATTTTCCAGCCTTGCCTTTTGAAGGACAGCCCTCCAGAAAGACTATTTTGACTTACAGGCGTACAGAAAAAGCTGGACCAAAGGGCACTGCCTACTGTCACAGTTCCTCAAGGGCTTTCAGCTTGAAAGAATCGCCATATCCATTTTGTCGTATTTAGAGATGGTTGTTTGACTTCAATTCTGTTGCTGTGATAAAAAAATACTCTGACCAAAAGCAACTTAGGGGCAGAAAAGGGTTTATTTCATCTTAGACTCAGGACGGGGGACCCGAAAGCAGAACTGCATACTATTCCACTCACCATCACCAGTGAAGGAAACACAACAGAAACTTTGAAGGAACACAGCTTTATGAGTCCTGCAGGCTGATGCTTAGCTGGCCTTCTTACATCCAGAACCATCTGCCCAGGAACCACGTGGTTCCTGGGCTGGGCCTTCCTACACCAATTAGCAAGAGAGTCCTCCACAGACAGCCCACAGCCCAATCTGATCTAGATAATTCATCACTGCTTTCCTCTTAGACAACCACAGGCTGTGCCAAGTGGACAAAGCTAATCAGGATGATGGCTACCTGACACTTTCTTTTCTTTTTTTTCTTTTTTCTTTTCTTTTTTTTTTTTTTGCTGTCCTGAAACTCTGAGGATGACCATAAACTTTTAATCCTCCTATTCTACCTCCTAAATGCTGTACCACCACTGTTAGCTTACGGTGACTGGAAATTAAACTGATGGTGTAACGAATGCTAGGCAGGTACTTAAGAGTACTTGTTGCCCTTCCAGAGGACCCAGGTTCAATTCCCAGCACACACATGAAGGCTCATAAGCAACTGTAATCATAGTCCTGGGGGATCCAATGCCCTCTTCTGGCTTCCATGGGCACCAGCACACATGTGGTGCACAGACATACATGCAGGCAAAACATTCATATACATAACATTAAATAAAAATTTAAAAATGGTAATAATAGGGCTGAAGAGATGGCTCAGCAATTAAGAGCACTGGCTGCTCTTCCAGAGGACCTGGGTTCAATTCCCAGCACCCACATGACAGCTCATTGCTGCCTGTGACTCCAGTCTCAGGGGATCTGATACCTTCACACAGACAGACATACAGGCAAAACACAAACGCACATGAAATAAAAATAAATTAATTAAAAACTGTTAAGGATAATTAAGATAACAAACTGGTAATAAGGGTTTACATGTATACAGAAATAAGGTTTTGTTTTGTTTTGTTTGTTTGTTTTTCAAGACAGGGTTTCTCTGTGTAGCTTTGCATCTTTCCTGGATCTCACTCTGTAGACCAGGCTGGCCTCGAACTCACAAAGATATGCCTGCCTCTGCCTCCTGAGTGCTGGGATTAAAGGTATGCGCCACCACCTCCTGACCAGAAATAAGTTTTAAAAAAAGAAAAAGAAAAAGATGGTAATAATAAAAATGTAAGTGATTGGTTGCCCCCACAATAGTCACACCATTTCTGCACCACTGGACACATCTTGCTGGCATGCTGACTGTAGCACACGACCAGGGTTCACCACTAGTGACCACCCACCTCCAGCAGCCTGGATAGCCCCTCCTAGCAGAGAAGCTTCCAGTTCGGTTACAGCTTGATGTCTCTATGAACTACAATCAAAGCATGTGGTGTCTTCAACAATAGGGTCCTACCATCTAGTTCTGCTAATCAAGCCAACAGGAGCAGTTGTCTGTACTGGTTTGGAGCCTCAGAGCATCCCCGAGAAGCATTTTTTTAAGAATCTGCATGTCGTATTTGACTTTTTCAAAGGAGGGACTGAGGAAAATGAATGTAGATAAAAAGAATTAATAATGCTCAAAATATGAAGTCTACATGGAGGAGAGAAATAATGGGGTTAATGGTGGGAAAGCCAAAGGGTGCTGAACTATGTCAAAGCAGTAGGAACTGAGAAAACGCAGTCCTTAAGTGGAGAGGGGACAGGCAAGCGTGGTGAACAGAACAGAGAATGTCAATGTGTGAATGGAAATATTTAATCTCCACAAGTACAAAACTGGGTGTGGTTACAGAAAAGTCACAAGTTCAAGGTCATGTGTAAGCAGTTGAGGCCAACCTAGCCTACAGAAAACCCTCTTTCAAACAAACAAACAGCAACAACAAGGAAAGTGAAGCTTATTCTACCAGCCACAACTCCTATCTAAAGGTCAGGCAGGACAGAAAAATTACAGGTAGAAAAAATTAAAAATATTTGCCAATCATTTTATGATTATTCAGAAACAATAGCAGTAACAAAAGGAAAAGTACTTTGTGCTCAAATGATATCCGTGGCTGGTGTAAGAAATGTGGAAGTATGAATGAGGAACTGTCTCTTGCTTATTCTATATTGCTATTGCCAGAGCTAGTTTTTTAAGTTTTGTGACTTTTGACAGATTTTTCTAAGGATCAATCTCTTGGGTGAAATGTCCCTGAATTTGCCTGTTATTGGTCATATGGAAAACAGGAGATCACATTTACAAGGTTCGAGATATGACTGTGTTGTTGACACAACAGGAAATGGACTCCACTTGGAACATGAGGGATTATGTTTGGGCTTTTGTTAATGGAGTAGTTTATCTCAGTGTCATAAAACCTTTAAAAATATGATAAAACCATCTGGAAACCTTTAAAATGTGTTTTTAAAAGATCTGGGGACAGATTTAGACAGGAGAGATCGTGGCTTATGTAGTTCGGGACGCCCCCGAAGTTGTTTCAAACCCCTTATCCCTGTCTCAGGAGAGGAAAGGGTCCGGGTATCCTTGTAGGTTGCAGAAGATGATGACCTTGGGTTTTCTGATCCTCCGGTCTCCATCTCCCCAAGGCAATGATTACAAGCCTGCACCACCACGCCGAATTTTAGAATTGTTTTAAAATAGACTTCTGAATGCTTGAAAGTTTGAAAACTTTGAAACTTTATGTAGCTTTGTGCAAGGTGGCTAGGAAACTACATTTCCCAAGAGTCCACTCGGCAACTCTCTACACTCCCCCGGTCGCTTCACCAAGAGGTACACTGGGAAATGTAGTGCTCCGTGCAGCGGGGCGGACAACGCTGGTGAAGGAAGACGGGAAGTGCGCCGCCAGTGGCAGGACAGGGACGGGACAAGGACTCTGCACACTCCCAATTTGGTGTATGTGGTCGGAGAAGAGTCCAGGTCTTCTGTACCTAGCAGAGCAAGGTGCCAATAGGGTTCACGCGCTGGTGAGCTATTTGGAGGTCCCTGACGGGAAGGTGCCAATCGCAGGGGGTCGAGCTCGTACCCGCCCCACCCTGGCTGCGACCGCACCGGGAGGAAGCGCGCAGAGGCCGAGTGCAGAAGTTTCCTTTTCTGCTTTCCCGTCAGAGCAACTTCAGCTAGCCAAGGGTGGGGATGCATGCATGACTTCAGTCAGAAGAAACCCCGGGAACCCAAGGGGTTAAAATAAGCGACTTCCCGAAAACACAACATTCAAAACAAAACAAAACCTCTCCCCACCGCTAGCCATGGGCAGCCGAGATCACTTGTTCAAAGTGCTGGTGGTGGGGGACGCCGCCGTGGGCAAGACGTCACTGGTCCAGCGCTACTCCCAGGACAGCTTCAGCAAGCACTACAAGTCCACCGTGGGAGGTGAGAGGCCGCGGGCGGCTGGGAGCAGGCGTCCGGGCTTGCAGCTGGTAGCCGATGGGTACTGGGGTCATCTCTGGGGGGGTTCCCAGCCTCTGCCAACTGCCTGCAAAGATCGGGCTGAAGTTTGATGGAGAAGGTGGAGGGGTCTGAGTAGGGCTGATCACAGCCTATAGTACCCGCCTGTAGTACATGCGCTGCCCAGAGCAACTTTTCCAATCAGCTGAGGCAGCTGAGCCCTGGTTCAAGGGCAGGCTGGGGAGGGTTGCCCTGTTTCTCACCAGCTTGGGAGTGGTGTTGAGGAAAGAACCGACTTAAGCTAAAGAGGAGAGCCCGGGAGGGAGCTAGGCAGTCAGAAGGACCGGATGTGGGGAAGGTTGGGGGACAGATTCTGGTCAGGACTGCTGAGCCCCTCGGTCGCTTTAATAAAGATAATTCGTGGACTTCGTGGGAAATGTGAGGAATTCAAGAAAGAATGTGAAATACACCCCAAGTGGCCAATCTTCCCACCCTTCTTCTCTCACGCTGGGGGAGGGAGGAGAGGAGAGGAGAGGAGAGTTACATTAATTAACAAAAAGTTAATTAATTTCTTTCCTAGCGTGGCCTTTGAAGTTAACTGAACTGTACCTAACCCCCTACCCCCCACCCCCACATGACTGCAAGTACAAAGTAGTTAACAAGATGGTGATATGAAAGAGTAACCTAAAATAAAAATTAAAAAAATTATGTAAAATTTGTACCGGCATAGATTTTGAAAGTGTATGCCGGTGTTCATATGAAAGTTGTTTTTAACTAACTATTTACTTTGAAATGAAAACTTGAAAGAATAGTTGACCAAAGGTGGGAGAGACGTCAGTGGGTAATGGTGCTTTATGCCAAGCCTAAACAACCTCACAAGATGGGCAGAGAAGAGACTCCCAAAAGTTGTCCTCTGACCTCCATGGGAGCACTGTGGCATGAGCATGCACACAGACAGACAGACAGACAGACAGACAGACACTATAAAACATTTTAACGTACAAAAGCATCTGGCAAAATTAAGGGCTTACTTAACATTTCAAAGACTGTTTCCTGACTACTTTGCCCACCACTCCTAAATATAAGTCCTTGTTCCATGGATTTGGGTTAAAAGTGTCCTGTGAATTAATTTTTCCCAGTGGCCTTCGTTTTCCTACAGTATGAATATAATTGACTCTGGCAAGTTTGCCTTTGTTGGTCTGCTTCCCAATGTTTATTATAAATTCTCTCTAGTTTTTACTTCGGTCACAGATGTAGAAGAGTGTTTCCGAACTGAAATTACTCTGTTTTCTCTCCTTGACAAATAGCCGCCCCCCCCCAGCACAGTAAGGTTTTCTATACCTTTAATTCCACACTCAAGAGGTGAGAGCAGGAAGGTCTCAAGTTGGTGCTTGTCCGCACTGCACAACTTTGGGAGGTTCCCCTGGAATAGTTGTTCAGCCCAAGGTCGTGGAGTTTCAGCATCTGCAGACCCCATGGCAGATTCTAGCGCAGCTCTCAGACTTCATCCTCTGGCACCCTTTCAGCTATCCCGTTCCTACCTGGTATAGTTAGCGAAGCCTTATGGAGGACATAGAGGACAGTGTGGTTGTGTTTTCTCATAATACGATCTGAGTAGGTACCAACAGTGAAGTTGGACCGCACTTAGCTTCATTTCCTTCATCTTCCCCTTCATCCTTTCCTTGAGAAAATCCCCTAAAAACACCCAGAAACCACTTAACCTGAGAACAGGAATTATTTCCATAATCACTCCCACTCTCCCGTTCCTAGCCATGCAGATAATTAGTATCCAATAACTTGATCTGATAGAGGAGGAAACACTGAATATCCTTTGAGTGTGAAATTTGTGTCCTACACTTATGCACCAGGTGGACTCATCTCCATCTATCGAAGGCTGAAACCTAATTGGAATTTCAAGACACAGGAGTTGTCATTGTGTATTTAATCTTAGCTTATCCCTGGATTAAAAAAAAACACATTTATTTTGTGTGTATGTATATATGGACATGTGCATCATGACATACATGTAGAACTCAGAGGATAGATGGTCCATCGAGTTTAGGTTATGGGGACTGAATTTGGGTTGACAGGCTTGGAAGAAAGTACCTTTAACTTAAAGAACCATCTCACTGGCCCATCCCTGGGTTTGTTTTTAAAGGCAGATTTTATTGACGTATAATATGCATGTATTTTCAGTGGATTTTGCTCTGAAGGTTCTCCAGTGGTCTGACTCAGAGATGGTGCGGCTTCAACTGTGGGATATTGCAGGTAAAATGGAAAGACCAGATGAGAACAAGAGAGAAATTATTTAACCATCAAGCCGCCTCGGGTGGGGTGTAGGGAGGGTGGAAATGGGATGGCGGAACCGTTATCTTTTTTTTTCCCCCCTGAAGCTACAAGTTTGAGCTGCTCTGAGCTTTTGAGACGATTTTGAAGGTGCATTGCCCGAAAGACAAAGAGATGTCCTGCCATCTCCGTGTGGGTGCAGATGCTGTTAAGGTGGCAGATTGTCCAGGCCATGGGTGGGTACTCCCCTAGTAAGAGGGATGGGCTCTAGATCTTCAACTGACTTTAGTGAGAAAGAAGATCTCCAGAAAATAAGACAATGATAGTGGTGGATCCTTATTATATGCTTCTGTTCTTCAAAGTATTTCAAATGTACTGATTCACTAGCCCTGTCGTAAAAGCTTTTATCTTACTCAGCGCATGACAGATCTGAAGTGCTCAGCCTGATTTTCTTAGTCACACAGATAGTAAGTGGCAGACAGGGAAGTGGACATTGCCGTTTAGATACAGAATCTGACTGAATTTAATAATCCCTTAACGGGATAGACGGAGTCAGAGGGCCTCTCTACCATACACAAAACGCCTTGTCTGCCACCGAAGGAAGAGTAGCCAGGATACCAGAGAATCACTTTCAAAATCACCTTTCGAGAGCTTCCTCTTCCCTCCAGGGCAGGAGCGTTTCACCTCCATGACGCGACTCTACTACCGAGACGCCTCTGCCTGTGTGATCATGTTTGACGTCACCAACGCCACGACTTTCAGCAACAGCCAAAGATGGAAACAGGATCTGGACAGCAAGCTCACACTGCCCAGTGGAGAGCCTGTACCCTGCCTGCTCTTGGCCAACAAGGTGTGTGGCCATTCTAAGTAAACGGCCCCTAGCATCTGTCAGCGGCCAGAGTAAAGGTATCTAAAAGGCCCTGTGTTTCTGAGCATGCACACCCCGTTTTATCGTGTTTTTTTTTTTCAAGCTAGAGTCTGTGTAGCCAAGGCTGACCTAAAGCTGACCGTCCTGCTTCTGTTAATCAAATGCTATAATTAGTGCCACCGTGCCTGGGCGCCAGCACACCAGCATGCCTGTTTGCCCCTTTCAAGTTGGAAGTCACCTCCGCTTTCTTTGGAAGAGATATTGAGAAAGTGGATTTCTGTTTGTTTGTTTGTTTGTTTGTTTGTTTCTTCCTATTATATTTTGTGTGGGGTGTGTTTTGCCTGCATGTATATCTATATACCATGTGTGTTCCTGGTGTCCAAGGAGGCCAGAAGAAAGTGTCAGGTTCCTTAGGTCTGGAGTTACAGAACATTGTGAGCTGACGTGTGGGTGCTGGGAATTGAACCAGGGTCCTCCAAAAGAGCAGCCAGTGCTCTGAACTGCTGAGCCAACTCAACATTCCTGAGAGTGACTCTATTATTTTAAAGGAAGAATCTTGACAGCAAATTTTGGATGTTGGTGGTCGTAGCCAAGCCATTGGTTGAAAATTGTTCTCAATGCACGAAGTCCCTTTGAAGATTATGGTGTTGCTATTTATGTATTTTCTTTGTCAGAGTGATCTGTCCCCTTGGGCGGTGAGCCGGGACCAGATTGACCGGTTCAGTAAAGAGAATGGTTTCACAGGTTGGACAGAAACATCAGTCAAGGAGAACAGAAATATTAATGAGGCTATGAGGTGAGTAGCCCTCAGTGTTCTGGGGACAGGCATACAGACTTATTGTCCACCGTGACCCCATGGACCCTCTTTTCCGGTTTCTGAGCAAACAAGTACAGGTTAAGCCCCTGGAATGCCAGTGTCCCTAAAATAATTGAGGACATCGGAGTGCTTAAACCTGGTGTCTTTATGGCCTGCTGCCTGGTGTAAGACAATGTGGGGGGAAATGGGGGCAACTCCTTTCTCTCCATCTACCTTCTCGGTACCTTATTTTTTTGTTGTTGTTGTTTTCTTTTCTTTTCTTTTTTTTTTTTAAAGAGTCCTCGTTGAGAAGATGATGAACAATTCCAGAGAAGATATGATGTCTTTGTCCACCCAAGGGAACTACATCAATCTCCAAACCAAGTCCTCCTCTGGCTGGACATGCTGCTAGGTCCATGTGGCTCCTTTTCTGTCCAGGTCACTGAACTTTCCCACCCACCTCTTCCTATTGGCTGCCCACCTGGCATAAATGTTCTGTTAAGAACATTTGAACAGTCTCTTGCCGGCCGCTGCCCTGAAAGGAGGCCAGCTGGGACTTGGGAAGGACTGCCTGGGACTCATGTGCATTTTGTTGCTCTTGGACGTTGTCTCTGACTTACTGTTGGCCCATGTACTCTAGCTAGAGCTTCCTATGGGATGGTGATCATCTCATCTCTCAACTTAGCATGAGTTCATGGGAAGGATTAAAAATTAGCACCTGTGTGTTTGTGGTGCAGGGGATTAGTCAGGGCCTTGCCCATGCTGGGCAGGCACAGGGCTACTGATGTACATCCTAGCTCTAGCCTCTGGGGTTGAGAATAATTCTCAGGGCCAGCAAGGTGGCTCAGTGCATAAAGGCATTTGCCACCAAGCCAGAAAACCTGAGTTCAGTCCCTGGGGCCCACGTGTTAGGAGAACTGACTCACACAAGTTTGTCCTGTGACTTACAAACTCAACCATGGCACACTCACACATACAAAGTAAATCTAAAAAGTACAAATAAAATGATCTCAAAGATACTTGTGATTTGTATGCCTACAATCCTAGTACCTGGGCAGCTGAGGCAGGAGGATTAAACATACAAGGACAGCTTGGGCTACAAAGTATAAGATCCTATCTTTAAAAATAATTATAACAATAGTTCACACCATCACTCAATAGTTTTTGAGTTTTTTTTTTTTTCTGTTTGATGTAGAAAAACACCATGAGTTCAGACTGAGGGGAAATAAGGTCAGACGGCCTGTCAACCAAATTCCATTTTCTTTCCAATTCTTCCTATATTGGATTTAACATTTCTACATCAGATTCTGGGGTACGGGGGGACAGCATTAGATATCTACTAGTTTGGGCTACTGGTGATAATACAGAATCACTGGGTTTGTGAAACTTTTAGTCATAATTAACTTTACCTTGGCTTCAAGAATAGTCAAGCTTTGGGCTGGAGAGGTGGTTCAGAAGTTAAGAGTACTGCTGCTTATAGAAAGAAGCTGAGCCTGATTCCTGGCTCCCACACTAGGAGGCTACAACTACCTGTAACTCCAGCTGCAGGGGGATTTGTCACCTCTGGCCTCAGAAAGCACCTGTATTCACATGTATATGCAGACATACACATACATGACATACATATACCTACACATAATAAAACATTTTTAAAAATCTTAAAAATAAAACCAAACAGAAGGTCAAGGTCATCTTCAGCCACATTTAAAAAAAAAAAAAAAAAAACAAGGCAAGCTTTTGACTAGGAGGTGTGGGACTCACCTGTAATCCCAGCCTTTGGAAAGCTAAGGCAGGAGAATTTGAGATTATGTCATGAGCTAGTCTGAGCTACATCATGAGACTATGTTTCAAAACAATAAAAGGAGTCTGGAGGGATGGCTCAGCTACTCCTCCACGGGACCAAGGTTCAAGTCCCAGCACCCACATGGCAGCTCACAATGGACTGTAACTCCAGTTTCCAGGGGATCCAATGCCCCCTTCCAGCATCCTCAGGCATTGCAGGCATAACACCCATATGCATAAAGTAAAGGTTTAAACAACAACAAGGGGTTGGGGACTTAGCTCAATGGTAGAGCACTTGCCTAGTAAGCGCAAGGTCCTGGGTTCAGTCCTCAGCTCTGGGGGAAAAAAAACAACAACAGAAACACTTAAGATGTAAAGCTACCTATCTGAATCATGATCACATTTCTTCACACACACACACACACACACACACACACACACACACACATTTTTTTTTTTTTTTTTTTGCTCAGATTTATCTAGAGTTTCTCAATTTGCAGAGGCGAGGATTTTAGTGGGGTGGTGTCTTGGGATGATGTATTTTGTTGTTTCTTTTATTTCGTTTTCTTTAAAATTAGGGTCTCAGGCTGGAGAGATGGCTCAGAGGTTAAGAGCACTGACTGCTCTTCCAGAGGTCCTGAGTTCAATTCCCAGCAACCATACATAAAGTGATCTGGTGCCCTCTTCTGGCCTGTAGGCAGACATGCAGGCGGAGGACTGTATACATAATAAATAAATCTTTAAAGAATTCATTCTAAGATGGGATCTGTGGATGGTATGTAGAGTGAGTGGAAGATTTCTTAATAAAGAAAAATGAAAAAAAAAGAATTCATTCTAGGCAAGTTTATTAAAAAAAAATAGGATCTCACTCTGTAGCCCCATCCAGCTTGGGATGCTGTCTCCTGCATAATGCTGTAAATGAAGCCAACTGGCTTAGTGCTCTGTAGTAGGTCTGTTCTATACAGCTTCAGGGATGTAAGAAAGAGAGGGGAGGTAATCAAACAGAATTCTGCCGGGCGATTTAATGTTATGAATACAGTGAGTAGCCTGTGCTTAGCAGCCACAGGACACCAATATGCACGGATCTTGGCCTAAGGACTGGGAGAGGACACACTGAAAACCATTAGATGATAACTTAAGTGCTAGAAATTAGGAAGAAATTTGTTAAATTTTCCCCAGAATGGTGATTTACAACCTACCTAAGACTAATATTCTCAGTGAACTTGAGATTATCCTAAGGCCTGAAATTATAGGCTAGGGCTTAAACAGATGTCCCATATCTGGCCCATCAGAACCATCAAAAGCTTTCTCTGTGTGTGTGTGTGTGTGTGTGTGTGTGTGTGTGTGTGTGTGTGTGTGTACATGTATGTGTGGTATGTGTGTGTGTTTGTCTCTGTGTTTCATGTTTTAAGCTTTTAAGAGAATCTTAAATCTTTTTTGTTGTTGAGTTTTGTTTGTTTTGGTTTTGGTTTTGGTTTTTCGAGACAAGACAGGGTTTGCACCACCACCCAGATAATCTTAAATCTTTTCAATGAAAATTTCCAGGAAAACATGGGAATGTGTTTTCACAGCTTCGCAGATTTAGCCAGGTTTGGAAGCTCGTGCTGGAGAAAGTGGTAGAGATAGAAACCACTGTCTTTTCTCTGTGAAGCCTGTGGGTATCTGGATGTTTTGCCTACTCTCCAGTGATTCTGATATACACACTGGACTTTGAAAACCACTCTCCAGGGGCTGGAGAGATGGTCCAGAGGTGAAGAGCACTGCTCATCTTCTGCAAGGCCTGCGTTCCTAGCACCCACGTCAGTCGGCTTGTAACTTCAGCTACGGAGGATGTGATGCCCACTTCTGGCCTCTGCGGGCATGCACAGGCACGACAAACATTCATACAGACACACACACATCAGTAAAAATAATAAAAACAAATCTTTTTTTTTTTTAAGGGAAAGATAAAAACCACTCTCCAAAGAAAGAAGTAACTAGTGTGGTTGTAGCCATGTTCAGAGACTGAGGCTGAAACTTCCGGAGCCCCCAGCCAGACTGTGTGAGCCCTGTTTAAAAAGCCATAAGGAACCGGGCAGTGGTGGCACATGCCTTTAATCCCAGCACTCGGGAGGCAGAGCCAGGCAGATCTCTGTGAGTTCGAGGCCAGCCTGGTCTCCAAAGCGAGTTCCAGGAAAGGCGCAAAGCTACACAGAGAAACCCTGTCTCAAAAAAACCAAAAAAAGAAAGAAAGAAAGAAAGAAAGAAAGAAAGAAAGAAAGAAAGAAAGAAAGAAAGAAAGAAAGAAAGAA